TCCCAATCCAGATAGCCTGGTAGGACTGTGACCTGTCCCTGGTACCCCAGGGTCTGCCTCCCAAGGTCCTTTTCCTCTGGTTCGAGTTTTCTAGCAACCTGGTTGGTGGTACCCCTCACTGAGGTTCTTGCTTATCCGATTTCTTCTACATTGGTATCTGTTTTCTAGGTCTAGCCTTTACAGTAGTACTGTCAAAGATCCTTGTTATCTCTCTACTCGGGTCTTCCCAAGTGGGCTTCGGTTATCCCAGTTCATGGATTTACATAGCCACAGATGCCCTATAACCTGCCAGTTATCTGGTATGACCATGTTACAAGTACTGATCCCAACTGATCGATAGATAGCTGTTGCTGTATTACTGGCTTCAAGGACTTATCTTGTGTTTGCATTGCCCAATGCCGGTTTGCATTCCTCTGTGTAACTCAAGCATTGCACAAATGCCTGTATACACCAATGTAATATAGGTGGTTTTTCAAATTTTTGCTGTCAGTGAGTTTTGAACTCCCAACCTACTACTTGGAGAGTTGACAACTTATCCACTTCTCTAAGTTGCCACACTCTTATTTATCACATCTTTTTATTTGATACATACCTTATTTATCATGCCTTTTTATTCATCATATCCCTTATTTGTCACATCTCTATATCATTCAAACTCATTTTAATTCAAGAATTCATATATCAAATCTATACTAAAATCCAAAACAATCATGTTTACATATATTAGTCAAAAACCAGACTAATATGATTTAGATTATTTTTTAGGCAAATATGATGACCATATTGGTGTTATGATTAAAGAAAGTAAGCTATAACAAATTAAACTTATTCAATTTGCTGTTCATCTAATCAAATATTATAAAAGAAACAAAATTCATTATTTTAAAATATCTTATCAACTTTCTATCATTCTATATCTTGTAAAACATATCATATCCTATTCATTTCTTATTATTACCAACTTCTTCTAAGATCTACTACACCATCTTCTTCTTTAACTTCTAGTTTTGCTACTTCTATAGATATAATTCCAAACCAATTTAAGAAAACCAAAGATACTATCACTCAGGTAGCTGTTATCAAAATTCTACTATTCTCTTTCAATTATGATAGCTCATTTAAAGCTACTTTCTCTACTATTACAAATTTTGAACCCAATACTATAGCTATCAAAGCTTATACACAACATACCTATATCTGTATCATCTGTTACAAATTTAATATTTCATGTGTCTTTCTTAGTAATAACAAACATTCTCTTGACTTCTTTGCCAAAACTTTATATAGTTTTTCTGCTCATCCTATCTGTATTTCAAATTTTAAATTGAAATTTGCAACTTAAACTTAACTTCTTAATTAACAACAACATATAGTATTTTATACAGCTAAATTTGTTCTTATCGACAAAAAAAAAAATCTAAATTTTTAAACAATTTTTTCAATATTTTTTAAAAAAAAAAAGCTACAAAACAAAACAAACTTAAAATTCTGTAACAAATACAAGAAAATCTTCTTAATTGGTTTAAAAAATTTTTTATTATTGACAAAATAAAATCATTCACAAATTTCAATATACTATTGTCTTAACAAATTTTTGAATTTATTAAACCTTATCTTATTAATTTTGTATCAGAAAAAGTTACTAAACCTACAACTAAAAAGAAACCAGCCTCAAAATAGAGTTTTAAATATTTTATTAAAACTTTGGCTAAAACCCAACCCAAGTTTCTTACAGATATTATTTATCAATATAATCCAACTATTGATATATTAGTTACTATTTCATTTAATATTTTATATTTAACTTTTAAAGTCCTATTTCACAAATTTATTACTACTCTTTTTACCAAACTTAATTACACTAAAATTCTTTCTTCACACAAATTTATTTCTTCATATACATTACAAAACTGATTTCAAGTAACAATTAATTTGGCTAGAATTCATCTATATCTTCAAAATGAATATCAAACAATTGACTTCTCAAAATTTGCCAAAACAGTTAATATACTACTAATATGTTTCTTCTTAAACTATTTTATTAGTGAAAATACTATTAATCAGCTTCTTTTCAAAATACAAAATGATAAAAAATATAATATCAATATATCTCTTATTAGAAACCTGGTTCAGTCTAGTTCTGATCTGAATTAGTTAGAAGTGACTTCATAATCTAAGTTAAATAAACTAGAATTGTACAGCTTCAAAAACAAATACCTTATTAATAAAGTTTAAAACAAAATATCACTATTCAATGCTTATTATATGGTTATCTGAACTAGTTCCTAAAAATTTTGGTCTAAACTTGATCCCAACTTGTTTCTTGTAGACTATTATACTTGCTAGATTCAGAATTCAAAAGATTAAAACTTAGAAAAATTTTAAAGTTTTAAATTCTGATAAAATTTAAAGATTTATATATAGTTTGGGCAGGTATACTGAACATAATGATATGAATAGAATTTATTAATTTTCTTCTAAGGTTCTGCTAGTTAGGATTATTTGTATGATTTTATATTCTTTTTTTAAAAAAAAGAGTGATAGGGTTGGCAGGTAACACTTTACTAAAATTCTACAAAAATTTTTTTTTTTAGTACCGATATACAGAATATAGTTCCTTAGATGAAATTAAGATTATTCAAAAAAAGGTTATTTTTTAATTTTATGTTATATCTGTTTTTGAATAGCTAGAGTTAACAAATATTAAATTTAAGTTTTCATCACATTGATCCATATTAATAAAGTATTATATTCTGTTCAAAATAATTAAAATGCTGATTGTATATATATGCATTTTAAATATACAGATTCTGTATTTTTTTAGGATTAAATTCAGGTATAAAACTTAAATTTTATTTATAAGTCTAAACTTGTATATTGTACTAATATGGTATTCCTTAAACATATTCTTTAACTATATTTCTTAAACATCTTGCAGACAAATTAGCATGTGAAAACAAATCGTTTAATAGATCTGCATTTATATATGATTTATGTTTTATATATACATTTATCTATTTGTTATTATAAAGTATCATTTTTAGCTATGAAGGAAGAAAATTTACGAAAAAAACATATAGATTTGGAGAAATAAACAGACAATAGTTCAGAATCAAAAGAATGTACAACAAATAGTTCTAGTTTACAATATTTAACTAAAAATAAAAAATCTAAACACTTTTCTAAGATATGAAATTATTATATTAGGGGTGCAGAAAAAAGTCATGGGCATTATAAAGCTACTTGTTACTATTGTATTTCCAAAAAATTTTGGACAAGAGAAAACTAGCAAAATTTGAAGCACATTTAGCAAATAAATGTCCTAATTGCTCTGAAAATATATCATGTTATTGAAGAGAAAAAGTAGCAAAAAAAAATTCCAATTATATACAACAAAAAAAAATTTTCCTATCACAATCATTAATAACATCTCACTTTTTATCTGATCATCTATTACCAAATGCTATAGTTAGTTGACTTGATCAAAAAATAACTAAAGCTTAGATAATGGTAGAAATTCTTTTTGAAGTTATCAAAAATCCATTTATCAAGGATATGTTTAAAGAGTTTCTGCCTGCATACAATATACCATCAAGAACAACTTTATCGGAAAGACTACTGAATAAGGAAATAGTATGTGTAAATTATGCAATTGACAATAATATAGATAAGGCTAATTATTTAACTTTAGGTGCGTATATAAACTACATAATTTCTTTTGATAAGAATAGATCAGCTTGGCCCAGTTTGTCCTAATCTTTAATAAAACTGGTCTATTAATGTTTTTTAATCCAATCTTAGTTCTAAAAATGGTTTTTAAACCTTTAACTATTTTAAGAAAATTAAATCACATAATGCTGTAACACTTTTTTTTTTAACTATTCATAAAGACTGATCTGGAAATCAAGGATTAAATAACTATAAGGCTGGTTAAAAAACCAGTCTTATTCAATATTTCTAGAACTAGATCTATCTTTATTCTTTAAACCAGCATAGGGATATATCTTATGTAAAGTAAAAGATTTTCTTAAAAATTTACTTTGTATAAGATATAAGATCATATAATGATGCGAATAATCAAAGTAATATGCAAATGCATGGCTCAATTTAGAGATATGCTAATTTAGAAATAATTTCTAAAAGTATATTTGTTTTAGAAGTATTTCTATATTAGGATCTAACAGCTAGAAATAAATAAAGCTTACATTGTATTTATACTTATATTAATTTAATATTATTTAACAAAAGCTTTAGACAATTAGATTGCACCAACAATGGAATCAATATATAATTATATTATTACAATGAACAGCTAAAAAAAGTATCTGATTGGTTTAAAAAATTATTCTTCTTGTTCTCATATGGGTGAATTTTTAGCAAATAAAATATCAAATATTGTTGAAAGACTTGGTTCAGATAAGTTTGCAACTGTAGTAATAGATGCAGCTTCAAATTGTAACTTGGCACATCAAAAAATACAAACAATGTATCTGCATATTTGAAATATATAATGTGCAGCACATGCAATCAATCTTATTGCTTCTAACTTGGTTAAATTAGACAAATTAAAAAAACTAATCACTGATTGTAGAAAAATTAATAATTTTTTTAATTCTTCTCATTCAAGTTATTCATTGCTTATTAAGAGATTTACAGATATGAAAATTAAAGATGGCAATCTAAAAACATAGATAAAAACTTATTGAGAGTCTTTATATTTTATCACAGATTCAATGCTTCATGCACAGTCTGTATTTGATTGAGTAAGTATAAATTATTATTTTTTGCAATTTTATTAATTATTGAGGTTACAGGCTGCCAAGATAAAAATTTTTATAACAAATTGCAAATATACAAAAATACTATTTATGGATTGTTGGTACTGTTCCTGATTGTATAAAAAAAAATCTATTAGTATACCATTCCTAATAGGGCCTAAAAAATTATACACTATCAACATATTAAAGACATGATATAAAATCTCTATTACAGTACTGATGATCTATTAGAAATAGTATTTTGTTGCAAATTAGTTTTTTACTATTTTGCAAAGTTTGCTATAATCATTACTAATCAATATAAAATTGTTTTTAGTTACTTTCTGAACATAGTAAGGCAATTACAAATCAAGAAGTAGCTAATTTAATAGCTAATGAAGAATTTTTTTGACATATCAATTAGTGCATTCTGTTTGGCAGCCTATTAAAAAAGTAATTAATGCATTAAAAACTAACAAAGCAATGTTAGCCGACTGTTTCATATATCTAATCAAGTTAGCTGCAGCTATTAAACTCTTATCTGAAATAAATAACTTCAAGACCTCTGTGGTTCATATTTTTAATCGATGATATAAAGAATTTTTACATCTACTTTATATTTTGGCATATTATATCTATCTGAAATATAGTAATATATATATATAATTAAAATTAGGTTTTTAATAAGAACAATTTTGTAGATAATTAAATAAATATACAGTATAGCATAAACTAAAATACCTAGGGTGCTTTACAGATATTATAATCAGGAGAATACTATGGTTAGTGTAAATCTAAATTCAGCAATTTCTTTTTTAGATACAGTTACCAATTTAATAAGATTATATATTTACAAAAAAAAAATCTATATCATGATATATAAGTGGCAAGAAAATTATTTTACATTTCAAGTGCTATTATTTTTTAATAAACCTATCTATAATATCCCAGGTACAATACATTCTAGGTCTCTAAAAATCATGAAGTGTATTGTACAAGAGAGGTCTTTTAGTTCATGCTATATGGTACTATCATACTAGTAGTATTTTAGTGATAATCAAATGCATTGTTATAATTTTCTTTCTTAGGTTTCACCTGAAACATTATATATTGCTATTGAATCATATCATAACAATATGTTAATAAAGACATGTATTTTAATTAATGCTTTTGTTGGTTTTAAAAAATTACATTATAAATTTTTAGAAAAAGGTCTAAAAGATAGTAGGTTTTGCAAAGCAGCTCTTAAGTCTCTTGAGCTTTGGTAAAACCTTGGGCACACTCAGTTAGAAGGTGAAGAGCTAGTTGCACAAATGTGATGATTTGAAGCACAATTGCCATCATTCAATCTTCCTTATGTTCTAGGTATAGACATTTCAAAAATCTGGTAAGGGTCTTATAAAAATTCATCTCAACATTGGCCGAATTAGTCTATAAAATTTTTTCAATTAATTCTATGCAATTAAGTTGTAAAAGGAACTTCTTGATGTTAAAGTGAATTTTAGAGAATTGTCAAACTAATTTGGATATAAACAGGCTAGAAGGAATATCTAAAATTAGATCTTATTATATGACAAACATCCAACATAAGCTAAACTTTGCTGATAAAAAATTAACAGAAGCTGATTTTTAATATGCATGCAATATATCTTTAGTTAGTAATATTATAAGCTATAAAAAGGATTAAATAAGTGTTAATAATGAGATTTCATTAAATAATATAACATCTAATTATTATATGACCTTGTTAATTGAGAATATTATTGATTTGAGAATCAAAAAAAATTCAAAATCTTCTTCAGTAAGAATGGCTCAAGATATTTTATTTAACAATTTGGATTATAATCTTTGTAATATATTAGATCATTTTTTAGAATATGAAAAGTAAAATGACTAGGATAGTTTCTATGTTAGTTTATATATTCAATTTAATAAAATCAAATAAATGCTGAAGATTTAATAAGTCTTACTTCTAAAACAATTTATTATTAAAATGCAATTGATTTGTAAATCTAACTATTTTAAAATTGAGATAATGTATTTACTTTATTTCATATATTATAATAAAACTTATTTATATTTATATAGTGATAATGAACCAAATATTTTTAATATTATAGTTGCGAATTTTTACTGCAATGCTCAAATGGGTGAGTACACAGCAAAACTATGCTTAGAGTATATATAATACATATACTCTAAGCATACTCACCCAGATAAAGTAAGTTGAAAAAATTTTTTATTTTTTATATATAATTTAAAAAGCAGCTCTGTACTTTATTACTGAAAAAAGAGTTGATTAGTGTTAAACTTTCTGCTAAAAAAGAAAATTGTAACTTATGCATCTAAAAAAAGATATTCTAATTTTATATATATATATAAACATATCACTGATTAATCTAATTAATAAAAAAACTTTGGTAACTTAATTATTGGCTATATACATATTAATATAGTTTTGATTTACTCAGTTAACAGCCATCTCCAGTAAAGTATATTAGAGAGTATCACTGACTTTATAGACTACATGGAATTAAATCAAATATGCATAGTACTTATTTATCATTAGATCTTTACTAAAAAAAAAGCAAATTTTGAGCTGAACCCAACACAATTAACATCCAGATTTCTCAATTCAGGTACTAATAATTTATACAATGATGTTGAAGCAAGATATTAAAAGCATTTGAGAAGATTATACAACATACATTTATTATTTTAAATATTTAGTAATTTATGAACATTTTGTATTTATTTATAGTTTATAAATAACTGTCTACTTAATTTTACATCTATCACATCAATTTCACAAAAATGAATAATGATTTTCAAGAATAGGGAACAATTTGACATATTGAATCTTGAATATAATCAGTTTAACGAAACTATAATTGGTATAGCACTTCTTTAGTATGCTATTAATTGTGAGATCCTCAGTAGATAATTATATTAGACAATTTCAATCTAAAATTATAATATTAAAGGTAATTAAATAAATTCTGTTTGATAGACTAATATTATAAATAAGAGATGAGAGTACTAATATAAAATTAATATATCATTTGAAATATGTATGCAATATTTTTAATGAATAAATAAATCAATTTGCCAATTTAAAATATTAAGAAAATTTTATAAATATATAAACCAGTGAATATAGACAAAAAAGTTTATTATGCAAATATATCTAGAATGTATTAATATAAAATAAGATATACTACTAACTAAACACTACCAATCCAAAGATGTTTTTAAATAAAGTGAATTCAAACATATTCTAAGCATTAATCTAAACAAATTACTACCAGTAGAGCTTATTCTTGTCTTAAACCTCAACAGTTCTAAAAAAAAAAAAAAAAAAAATAGAAACATTAGAAAATGGTTTATTTTATTGTAAATTAAAATAAAATTCAGAAACTTTTTCTTGCCATTACAAATGAGATTATATAAAGATTAGCAACAGCATTTAAAAGTCCTAAATACTGCACCTTTTTGAGATTCAGAATAAAAGTTAACAAATAATAAATATATATACTGTACATATATATTACTGTATTACATTTGTTACTTATACTGCATGTCACTCACAGCACACAACACATGACACTAATTACAGCATACTATACCTATTATAATACACTACTCTATTTATGACATACTATCCTATTGCCATATATAGCATAATAGCAACATAACCTGAAGATAGTATGATCTTCATGGCATAGCCGTAATGCTAAGAATAGTGACTACCTTTATAAATGTCTGTATCATTAACTATAACACAAATATAATTTCCAAAATTCATCATCTGTAAGAATTGAACCTTAGACCTGCTACTTGAGAGTTAACAATCTATTTACTTCACTAGGTTGCCACATTTCTATTAGTTATTAGTTATAGTTAGTTAATAATTATATTATATAGTAAATAGATAAAAAAATCCTAATTAGCTATTAAAAATATAGTACAGCTATATGACACTAAGTAACATTTGTAATATTACTATTGTTTTACAAATTCCAAATATTTTTGTATAAGTTTTATATATCTTAACATCAAATTATTGTGCCAAATGCTATGCACAAAAATTCTAAGTATCTTTAACATAAATCTTAAATGTTTTTGCACAAATTTCAAAACTTTCTATACAAATTCTAAATGTTTTTGCACAAACTCAAATATTTTAACATAAGCCTTAAGTGTTTCAAGTACAAATAACAAATAATATAAACAATATTTTTAGTTGTTTTTGTACAATCTCTATTATTTTAAGCATAATATTATTTAATATTGTTTGAACTTTTATTGTTCCAAGTACAGTATTAATTAATATTGTTTGAACTCCTGCTACTTCAAGTACAGTATTAAGAAATATTACTCAAATTCCTACTATTTTTATTAGATAAAAAAATATATAAAAAGTATTATTTTTTTTTTTTTACTAATTCTAAATTCAGAAGATAGTGATCTTAATATAGTGGTTAGGTTGCTATCCTCTAAATAGCAGATCTAAGATTCAAATTTTATCTATAATAAAATTTGAAAATTAAACTGTATTATGAAAACTGTTACCTATTGATTAGTTGGCCTCATATAGCTGTAATCCAAATACATCAAGTTAGGGCTTACTTGTCATTAGGAGCTTAATGTATTTATGCAAAATATAATATTATATATATATAGAAAATATTAATAACTAGTATTGTATAAGACTTTGATGCAAATCTATAATAAGACCACTAGGTACAAAAGACTAAGAAACCAAGAAGATGGAATTTTATTTAAAAATTCCTAAGAGAAAAAATAGCACAAACTTTTAATAATACTATTAGACTGATAAAAATCTATAAAACACCTTCATAAAAACAGGTAAATAAACTAAATAACAAAGATATATAGAAGAGCATATAACCAATCAAGTTATTAGAATTATCAGAAAAAAAGGATATTAAGATATATTATATTAGGCCATATAAATTGAAAGTCTGAAAAGGCTGTTGGTTCTAAGTTGTGACTAGTATAAGATGATGATGAAGATGTTAGAAAGATAGATACTAGGTTTAAGTGAACTTTACAAAAATAGAAATAGTGTAATGTAGTAGTTTAAAGTTAGTTTTGACTACAAGTGTTAGATAACTATAGTATGTTATATAAAACTAGATTAGCTGTATATAGAACACAGAAAGCTCTAGTAATAATACTTTTGAAAATATATTACATAAAATAAGATATGAAGTCCTAAGATTACAAGTAAGCATCTAAACTTTTTTGACTAATATATATATTGGAAATGATCTAGTAATATAGTAAAAATTGCAATACAAAGAGTTTAAATAGGCAGTGCTTCTAGTTGAATTGCAGATATAGTAGCTAGTATAGAACTATTGGCAGTCTACTTAAATTAGATACCAA